TGGAACTTCCCATGCATATACTGCATTATGAAATATCTTTCTCATAATTGGAGACCTTTAGTTTGACATTAGACACCTTAACATTGACGTATTTTTCGCAAACGTCTAACCGCTAACCGCTAGAAACCACGTGACCAGGAGCTTGCCGTCACGTTCGCCGTAAATCGCTCACGTTTTAAACCTCAAGAGTGCATTCTACAGGTAAGTGATTTACCTCAGCATTTTATTCAATAAAGTTCCGTGCAGGATTGCGTGATCCATGCCCGAGGGATGTCGCGAGACTTTCGGAAAGCGTAAAAATACTCGAGCCGCAGGCGAGTGTATTTTTACGCTTTCCGAAAGTCGAGCAACATTCCAAGTGCATGGATCACGGTATCCTGCTTGGAAAACCATTTGGTAATTGTTTTATAAAATAACTACAGTGAAACAATGACATTTTGAGAATCCCGCGAGAGCATTTTAATTCCTCGTGCAGGATAGCCTGATCCGGCACGGCTATTGACCAATCAAATTGCGTGTTTCACTGTAATTATTATATAACTGTTATTACTTCATTGCACGTGTATGAAATATATTAAGACAAATATACATCTTATCTTTGATTTGGATGGATAAAAGTTGTTTTTAACAGGACATTTTTCATATTCTGAGTGCTTTTAACCGAACCATGTATAAATTCGACTCTCTAATTTATTTGGATTCAACAAACATGAAAATTTCGATTGTCAGTTCAATATTTTGGGGTCGGTTTTGGTATGATAGATTTCTTAAATTGAGATTTGTTTATTTTAAGTCGTGTTTTGAATCGTTTTAATAAACGTTTACATTTGAACATTCACGATAAAGCAAGTTCAAAATCATTGATGACCTTTTCACAGTCCGTGTTTAAACATACTTGCATATTTCTTACTTACATTTACACATAGGCGTACGGGAAGGAAAAAATTAGGGGGGGGGGGCAGAAAGAAATTTGTCCGACTTTTTCGGATTGTGCCCGACAAGTGCCGAAAATTTTTTTTTCCGGAACAATTTATTTTGGCGACCTCCCCCCCCGGCGCCAAAAAAATTTCGGTCAGTGTACCATTTTAGGGGGCCAAAAATTTTTCGGACATACCCAAATTTTTCGGAACATCAAACAAATTTTCCCCAAAATCGAAAAATTGACATAATTTCCCACAAAATTTACAGAATTTGTCCCATTTATTTTTATAATAACCAAATACTACCCGACTGTGAAGCGAATATTGCCCAACTGACTTTGTTTGCTCAACAAACTGGGGTTATTATTAAGAGAGATTTTCTTATTTTGACTACTTTTTGCCCGACTTTTGCCCGACTTTTGTTGAACATTTGCCCGACTTTGTAATCTTGTTGGGGAGGGGGGGGGGGGAGCTGCTCTCCCCCTGCCCCCCCCCGTCCTGTACGCCTATGCATTTATACTTTCATATTTCAATTCATTTTAACAAATTGGTAGTGACATTTGTTTTTTTGACTGGATGGCACAATTCAAGTGGATCCTATAGTTTCGACGGGAAAAAATTGAACGCGAAGAAAAACGTCAATCTTAATTTCACATTTGCAAGTACGGCAAACGTGAAACCGCTAACGGCAAACCGCGGTTTGCGGTTAGGCGTAAATAAAATAAACGTCAATCTTATAAGGTGTCTATTTACAAACCGCTAACGATCATTGTGATTTAACTACGCTCTTGTAGAAATTACACTAATTTTGTTACATAATAAACATCCTACACAAGAATAATGATTATCAGAAAATTAGTTAGCCACTAATAACGTGTTAGTCAAGACAGTAATTTCAGCATGGATCCTGATACGTTTTATTTCTATTTTTATAAAAATGAAATTTCTGCATATTTTTACATGGCCCGCCCTTATGATTGCACTTTCGATGACCCACCCCTTCAACCGTGCTCAAAAATAGTGACCCACAGCCCTATTTTTCCCAGTCCTCCCCCCCTTTTACTTTATGACCAGTCCCTTAGGACGAATTTCAACAGAAAGCCAGTCTCAAACTTCAAATCGTGAGGGAAGTCGTGCGACCACATTAGCATTAATGTGTGCTTCGCTGTTGCCATTGTTATAAATAAATTGTCTCACTTATCAGATAGTGTGTGCAATTCTTGTTGGCGGCGGAAAGTACGAAATTTATTTCAGTTATTTCATTTGGTAAACAACTCTACAATTAAAGAAGAGAGCGTTCAGGGTCCAGATCGTTTCGTTTCAAACGGCAATTACCGTCTTCTGTCTCGCTCTCTCAGCGAAGCCTTGCAAATCGCCAAGTGTTTCGAATAGGCTTACATGCAGCTGCCTCTAAATCTTCACCGCGAAAAGCGCTGTTTTCTTCAGTGCAAGAACAGAGTCTACATCAACCAAAAGATAATTTTCTTGCGGAACATATAACGTATCAAGTCTGTTTGAAATTAATGAAACTCAAGTAAAGGTTACTATAGTTTACCCCAGTCATAGCCTAATGTTGCTATTCCAACACTTCACGACAAGCAATCCCCATTGGCATAACCGCAAAAACATCTCTTCCTTCAATTAAACAATAAACAGTCTGTTCTTGTTCCATTTTTAATCGAAAAAAGTGATCAACTTTCGAATTTTAAGCTTATCGAGAGCCTTTGTGATGAATCACTGATCTAATTATAGAATCCAACAGCAAACAGCCAATCAGAATGCGGCGTTCGTGGGCAAACGCGGAAAGTACAAAATACCAGGCCTTGCTTGCAGGCCCACTATTCCTCCCTTGGGCCTGCACGCGGGCCCGGGGAAATCCTGCCTCGTCAGCAGCCAATCAAATTGCACGATTCGCCAAAACAAATGATTGCCATATAATGTATGCCCCCATACCCCCCCCCCCCGC